AATTTTAGAACGTTTTCATTACTCCCAAAAGAAACTTCATACCCATAAGCAGTTACTCCCCATTTCCCCTCTGCCTAGCCCCAGGAAACTACAAATCTGCTTTTTGTCTCTATGTATTTGTTTATTCTAGACTTTTTATATAAATGAAATCGTACAAATATGGGGTTTTTTACAATCAGCTTCTTTCACTTAGCATACAATTTTCAAGATTCATGCATGTTGTATATATTAAGCCCTTCCTTTTTATTGCTTAATAATATTCCATTGTACAGATGTATCACATTTTATCCATTTACCAGTTGATGGACATTGGGGTTATTTCCCTTTTTGGCTATTATAAACATTTTTATGCAAGTTTTTGTGTGGACATATGTTTATATTTCCCTTGGGTATATACTAGTAATACGGTAACTTTGTATTTAATGTATTGAGGGAGTGTCAAAAACTTTTCCAGAAGTGCTGTATCATTTCACTATCTCATTAGTAATGTAGGAGGGCTCCAATTTCTTGATATCTTCTCTAATACTTTGTTAGTGTATCATTTTTGTTTTAGCCATCCTAGTGGGTATGAAATGGTATATATAATATTGTGGTTTTGTAGATAATGAGTTTTATGTATACAGGCTAAGTATCCCTTATATTAAATACTTAGAACCAGAAGTATTTTAGATCTTGGGCTTTTTTAGATTTTAAAATATCTGCATTGTATATATTTACTGCTTGAGCACCCCACATCTGAAAACCCAAAATGCTCTAATAAGCCTTTCCTTTGAGTGTCATGTTGGCACTCACAAACTTTTGAATTTTGGAGCATTTTGGATTTTAATTTTTTGAATTTAGGATGCTCAATCTTCATTTACATAGCACTTCAGAACATATGTGGAGACAAAGATTTGCCCCATAAGTAAAATTTGAAGGTGCGTAAGTCATTAGAGCTGTTTGGTCCAAAGAAAACGGAACAGCAACAACCCAGTTCAGAGCTCTCTTTACAGCGCTGTCACTAAATAACGTATTATTTCTTAGGTTGTTTTAATCTTTCAGACTGCAATAGAACAAAGAGTCTAATCCCAAAATCTCTACCATATTGTATCATTGCGATGAATTAAGTGTAAGAGGCAGAAAGGTTGAAACTGTAGAACAAAAGTAAGGCAGAATCATTTTAGTCAACTGGGATTGTATGCCAAGATGAAGAACAGTTAGAAATACATAACAAGAGAATGCCTGGTTTGCCTGGCAATATTAGGTCCTGAAGGGTCTGTTTGAAGTCACCCCTACTCACAAAAGCAGACAGCTCCCCTAAGCAGAGGGGATTTTTTTCAAGATTTTTTTTTTTTAAGATGGAGTCTCACTTTGTCACCCAGGCTGAAGCAGTGGCATGATCTCTGTTCATTGCAACCTCCGCCTCCCAGGTTCACGCAATTCTCCTGTCTCAGTCTCCTGAGTAGCCGGGATTACAGGTGTGTGCCACTACACCTGGGTAACTTTTTTTGTATTTTTAGTAGAGAAGAGGTTTCACTATGTTGGCCAGGCTGGTCTCGAACTCCTGACCTCAGGTGATCCACCTGCCTCGGCATCCCGAAGTGCTGGGATTACAGGCATCGGCCACAATGCCTGGCCTTCAACAGATTTATTTCAAGGTTACCTATATTGTGATTACTAGGTCTAAAACGTTTACTCCCAACATAAGCAGAGGGGGTGAGTACATAAGACTTAAGAAACATGCTAAATTTTTGTAAGACTAGCAAAACGATGTCAATTTTCTAATTAAGCAAAACAAACCCCAAGAAAATGGTATAAAGAACCACCGAAACCAACATTTTCACCCTGCTGCTATAAGTTATTAAAATAAAACTACAACACGTTCAAGTGCTGAGAAGCATTCCTTTCTTCAAACCTGTGTTGTTTCTTAAAGTGTAATCTCTTTAAAGAGCTGTGCTAAGTTGACATTTATAAAGCCTTGACATTCGTGATAATTTATAATTTCCCAAATGGATTTCACATCTTTGCCAATAACCACTTTTTTTCCTCTCTCTCTCTTTTTTTTTGAGAAGTTTCATTCTTGTTGCTCAGGATAGAGTGCAGTGGTGTAATCTTGGCTCACTGCAACCTCTGCCTCCCAGGTTCAAGCAATTCTCCTGCCTCAGCCTCCTGAGTAGCTGGGATTACAGGCATGTGCCACTACACACGGCTAATTTTGTATTTTTAGTAGAGATGGGCTTTCTCCATGTTGGTCAGGCTGGTCTTGAACTTCTGACCTCGTGATCCACCTGCCTTGGCCTCCTGAAATGCTGGGATTACAGGTGTGAGTCACTGCACCCGGCCCACTTTTTGATTTTCTAAGGATAAAACATTCTGTAAACATCCAAAATATAGAGTACCTAGGGAGTATCTTCATGGGTATCTGATCTGGATGATTTCACTTCTTAGAAGTGTCATTCTTTTTATGTTAGCCCTAGAATTATCTTTTCTCACTTTCCTTTTTTATATAATTCTGTTTTTTCCCCACTGACTAACAACACTGCACTGAAAAAGGAACCCAGTATGCATTTCTTCAAATATGTATTGGCTTGGGAGAGGTCTAACTGATTTGATGTTCTTACTGTCCTGATGCTGTATGTAGCAAGCTTACAGAGGGAGGATCACATGCTGTAAAATATCTTGACAGGCAAAAATTTAATCAGTAAACAGTGAAATTTTCAAGTGGAAAGTGACCACGTCAAACTTCAATTAAGTCCTTGTGAAGTCTAAAAATGATAATTCCTTTCATCACCAAGGAAATTCTCAGAGAATACTTCAATTTAGAACCTGTTTCGTTTTTGAATAACAAGAAATAATCTAAAATTTCTGTTCCTTGGTAATATATGTTATCGGGTAACGAAACAGTCAACTAAGAGTAAGTAATCCTGTCAAAAAGGAGTTGCAAACAGTTTAGGTAAATGTTAACTAAATCATTAACAGAGTCTATTCTGTACAAATCAGAATAGTCACTGGTGGCTGCTAGAGGCTTCACTGTTTTAGTTTAGCTACTTAAAGCTCAGGAACTCTGCTTTTGTTCACAACTAAAACAGACCTTGGAATTAAATAAGAGTTCAGTCCTTTTAGAAAATGTAAAAAGTATAGAAGTTTTCATATGAAGGGTATTTTAGCAGAAAGAAGAGGAAGGCTAAAAGTATCTTCCTCTGACTGAGATACTGATTCTTTCTGCAGTTAAAGGATTTTTCTTTTTCTTTTTTTTGAGACAGGGCCTTGCTCAATATATTGCCCAGGCTTGAGTGCAGTGGCATGATCTTGGCTCACTGCAATGTCCACCTCCTGGGCTCAAGTGATCCTCCTACCTCAGCCCCTCCAGTACCTGGGATCACAAGCAACTGCCACCACATCCAGCTAATTTTGGGGGGGGATTTTTTTGTGGAGACCGAGTTTTGCCATGTTGCCCAGGCTGGTCTCGAACTCCTGGGCTCAAGCGGTCTGTCTGCCTCAGTATCCTAAAGTGCTGGGATTACAGGTATGAGCCACCGCATTGGCCTAAAGAATTTCTGAAGATGCTTTAAAGTACCAGATTTTGATAATCTGGATCAGACTCCCAGAGACTGAAATTGCAAGGAAGTTGGTCCCAAAACTATTAGCAAGGAGGCAGCTTTTCAATGTGCCAGTTTCCCATCATCAGTCAGAACCCATGGGAACTTGTGTGGGAAGAAGGGAAAAACATAGTCCTGACTCACAAATTCAAATGTTTAGAGGAGTTCATCAGGTAACTTAATGAGTCCAGATTGGTGTAAGAGGAAAGATGACGTGGAGATCGCAGCTTGGTTGGAGAGTGAGCAAATAGACAGCAACTGTTCAGCTTTAGTCCACTGTTATGTTGAAATGTAGGCCCAAAGTTGTCAGATAATTTTAATTTTTCAAGATAAACCAAAGTCTAAATTTTGTAAAATCCAATTTTTAACATTTGGGAATTTACTGAAATTAGAAAGGGAAAAACTAATAACATGGAGGCTAGATAAAATGTATCTGTGAGATAATTGGTGACCTCTAGCTTAAGTACTAGAAAGACCTTTAGTGGCACAAACAAGAGGGTAAGAGTAGATAACAAAGTACAAAGGAAACAGCCAGAGAGTGAGAGAGAGAGAGCGCACGCAAGAGAGAGAGTAAGAAAGAAGAGAGGAGAGGGAGGGAGGGAGGAAAGGAGGGGAAAAGGAAAAGAAGAAAGAAAAAGGGGAAGGAAGGAAAGAAGGAAGGGAGAAAGGAAGGAAGATTACTAAGGTGCTGCTATTAATTTACTTTTGGGGAAGAGAATGTTCTTTGGAGTCTGAATTTTAGGCCCTTGAAATGCTAAAGATGATTTCCACTGTCATATCCATTAGCAGACAATTTTTTAAAAAAAGATATATAAAATAATTAAGGAGGCAAGGAGGTAGGAACAGAAAAATCTTTAGTTTCAAATTTGTCTGTAACTTATACTAAGCCAACAAAGGTAGGAGATGATCAATGCTCATGTCTACTGAGCAGTCAGGTGTATCAAAATGAACTCATTTAAAAAGGAATCATCTTTGGGTTTCTTCAGAAATAGAAAGACCTACTCTTGGAGATTTCAAAATGTATTAACATTGATCACTTGAAAACTAGGGTTAAACTACTGAAAAGAGCCAAAATATCTAATCGGCTTCTGTATCTCTGAAGATTAAGCTGGGTCTTAATATTTTGTGTTACTGACTCTTCATAAAATATTGGAAAATATGAGAAAAATGAGTGAATAGGGAGAGGCATATAACACCCCCGCATCCTGTCAGGAAAAAATCTAAACCTTGAATGAAAGTGACCATATAGCTCCTTTTTGAGAGATTATTTGTGCTTATTAAAGGTAAGGGTATGTTTAGGATCCTGCCCCTACTATAGTTGACCACTAACATAATACATTATTTCCCTCAAAAATCTTAATGGTGAAAATCTGATAGAAGATAGAAACTAGGAACTGCTAATACAGGGTTGAAAGTACTTACCTATTATCTCAGATTCATAATAATCCTGTGTGCCTTCCTGGAAGACAAGACAGGGTGTCTTTATGATTTTAGAGCAAGAATTTGGAAAAATGGTAGGTCCGTTTGTATGGTAAGTTCATGTCCATCAAAGAGGAATGACAAATAGATTCTTCTTCCTGTTAGGGGCTATTTAGCTGTGTTGTACCAAGGTCAATTAAAGATTCCTTAGAAATTATTTTTTTTTCTTTTCCAAGACAGGTTCTTGCTCTGTCACCCAGACAAGAGTACAGTGATATAATCACAGCTCACTGCAGCCTCAAACTCCTGGGCTCAAGCAATTCTCCTGTCTCAGCTTCATAAGTAGCTGAGACTTACACTACACTGTGCACGTCATCACACCAGAGTGTTTACATTTTTTTTTTTTAGAGAGACAGAGTCTTGCTCTGTCACCCAGGCTCAGGGGCAGTGGCACAATTATAGCTCACTGCAGCCTTGAACTCCTGGCCTCAAGAGATCTTCCGGCCTCAGCCTCCTAAGTAGCTGGCATTATAGGCATGAGCCACTGAACCCAGTGGGTTCCTCAGAAATTCCAAGTTCAGGGAAGAGATGAACTATGAAAAATTTAGTGCTGTGCTTCTTTTGTTTATCTATTTATAACATTCTGTTTTGAGATTTTACTGTTTATATTAGAACAGCAGTATGAAGAAAGGTGAAGCCTACCTTTCAAGCAAATGAAGAATATTCCACCAAAAAACAAGCTTGTACTACATTTTTTTTTTTAAATACCTAAGATGAGCTTTGGTTAAGATGAAGAAATAAACTCACATGCATTCATTAATCATACCAGCTAAAGATTTTTCTCAGACCAGGGATCATAGATCTATATACTCTTTATTAGTGAATAAGTCCATGAGTTCTCCATGGGTATTCTTAATTTTGTATTTTTATTTTAGTAATACTCTAAAAAAGAATAAGTGAATATTCTGGATCATCTAGATGAGCACTTTATAAATGTTTACAACGTAACAGACGACGCAAAATGATAATAATTTGTTTGTACTAAGAAAGACCAAATGACACAACATCATATATATATATGTATCATATATATATATATATATGTAAGTTTTTTGTGAATTCTGATAGAACAGAGTTTTCAGCCTCAGCAATATTCACTGCCATTTTGCCTCTTTATTTCAAGGGGCTTTTCTGTTCATTGCAAGATGTTACCAGCATCCTTGGCCTCTACCTACTAGATGTCAGTAGTATCATATCACACCCTTAGTTGGGACAACCAAAAATGTCCAGAGACATTGCCAAGTGCCTCCTGGGTGACAAAATCTCCCTAGATTGAGAATGACTGCAATATAGAAAAGTGGGAAGAACTGAGGTAACACAAGATGTGCAGGGGAATAAATACGTCAAATTCAAATGAACCAAAGATATAACAATTTCTACTACATTCAGGCTGAAGATAATGTCACTAAAACATTATCAAAGATCACATTAACGTTGTTAATGTCAATTTTATTAAATTGTAAATCTGTTTTGCTTTGATATAATTTTTCCCTTAAAAGGCAAATCTATACATTATTCAAGTTTGAATTACACTTTTTCCTGGTTTATGTTTTCTTTTTTTTTTTTGAGATGGAGTCTTGTTCTGTCACTCAGGCTGGAGTGCAGCGGTGCCATCTCGGCTTACTGCAACAACTTCCACCTCCTAAGCTGAAACAATTCTCCTGCCTAGAGTAGCTGGGATTACAGAAACACGCCACCAGGTTTGGCTAATTTTTTTCTTATTTTCAGTAGAGGTGGGTTTCACCATGTTGGACAGGCTGGTCTTGAACTCCTGACCTCAAGTGATCTGCCCGCCTTGGCCTTCCAAAGTACTGGGATTACAGGCGTAAGCCACCACGCCCAGTCTTCTTTCTAGTGAAAACTTGACTCAGAAGTCATCCACCAACTAGTGTGTAATCTTTCCTTTTTTTTTTTTTAGGCAGGGTCTTGCTCTGTTGCCCAGGCTGGAGTGCCATGGCATGATCTTGCCTCATTGCAACCTCCACCTCCCAAGTCCAGGCGTTCTCATGCCTCAACTCCCCAAGTAGCTGGGATTACAGGCGTGTGCCATCATGCATGGCTAATTTTTGTAGTTTTAGTAGAGACAAGGTTTCATCGTGTTGGCCAGGATGGTCTCGAACTGACCTCAGTTCCAGATCACTGATAACAAATTATATCAAAGCAAAACAGTGATTCTGTACATCTCAGTCTTCCTAAGTGCTGGGATTATAGGCGTGAGCCACCGTGCCTGGCTAACCTTTCTAAATATCCTTTTTCTGCCTAAGGTATCTTCTGTTAATATATCACAGATATTTCTTAATTGAAAAAATTCTCAAGAGCCCGAAAACTTGGGTATATACTTACATACTAAATGTCTGTCGTTAACTAAATAAAAATAAGTTAACTAAATAAAAAAACCTGAGAGAGTTTTTTGTTTTGTTTTGTTTTTTTGAGACAAGGTCTTACTCTGTTGCCTGGTGTGAAGTGCAATGGCATGATCATGGCTCACTGCAACCTCAAACTCCTGGGCTCAAGTGATTCTTCCACCTCAGCCTCTGGAGTAGCTGAGGTCACAGACATGTGCCACCACACCCAGCTAATTACATTTTATGTAGAGACTGAGGGAGGGGGCAGGCCTTGCTACATTGCTCAGGGTGGTTTTGAACTCCTGGGCTCAAGTGATCCCCCTGCCCTGGCCTTGCAAAGTGGTGCGATTACAGGCGTGAGCCACTGTGCCTGGCCTGAAATTTTTTATTTATAAATACACTGAAAAACTGGAAAAGGTCCTGTATAGGAAGTACTCACTGTTGCATTTTTCTTTCCTGAAAAACGAGTCTTTGAGAGAGTAAAAAAATAACTGTCAATACAGCTTGTGTATGTACACGTACGTACACACACACACACACACACACACACTCACTCTCTCTCTCTCTCTCTAAATTTCTCCTTTGAATCAAGCAAAGCTGACAATATATTAAAAGAATGTCCAAAGGTATATAGTAAGTTGAAAAGCTGTCTTGAATACAAGTCTATCAGTGGAAGAATCTTAAATTGGTTAGTTGTAGTTAAATGTGGGAGACTGTTCCAAAAGAGTATATCACAGCCAACTTACAATTTCTCCCCATTCTAGTAAGAGTAAAATTTGGTCAAAATTGCCTTTTACCTGTGAATGAGGTATGGTTGGCTAGAGGATGAAGGTTAAAAAAATCTTAGTTCAACAAGTCTAGCTTAAGTGATATCATTCCAATGCTCATAAATTTACAAGTTTAACAAATATGACTACTGTACCCCCCAAAGACCTAGTAAGTTTTGCTAAAGTCACCCAAGATCAAATAGCTTGAAATTCTTTAATAAGCCAGAACTCTCCTATAGGTTGTAACAATTTATTTTCCCCTTCTAATCTCCCAGGGAGATTATTGCCACCTCCTATATATCAGTAACTAGTTAGGTACAATTTTCTTTTCTAAAATAATGGGGTGGCAGCCAGGGGGTGAAGGCAAAGACTGCAAAGAAAGGGTAATTCATTTATCAATTCTTCAACATGCAGCATCAGAGATTTTTGCTAAAGTTAAAATAGTACCTAATTTTATTTTCCTTCTCAAGATTTATCTAACTTCCAAGGTATACTGAATAACAAAATGACTTAATAATAGAAAACAGTAGCCAATAAAGCATGAACTCTTATGTAGGGAAGTTCAAAAAAACACTGTCTGCTGAATAACTCTTAAAAGTTTAACATGTTAAGAGCAGAAATGGAAACAAAGCTCCCAGTGACCCTCAGCTGAATTACAAAATTAAATAAAAACTTAGAAATCAATCAAAGGCAAAAACATTACGTAAGATTTATAAAACACAATTAGTCAAATAATAGTGTATATGTGGGGGTGGTGGGCTGGAGAGGGTGTCTATGTCAGGATTTCTGCTACTAAAAAAATGAAGTGTGTCAGATGACTGCAGATAAAGACTGGGAGACACAAGAAATCACAGACACCAAGCTTTTGGGGGTATACTCATAAAATTCAATCGTTGTAACAATAGATAAGGTACCTTCTTCTCTGTTAGCAAGTAACTATAACTTACCTGCTTGTGTGCATGATCATAGGAGTTGATATGGTTATCAAATTCCTGATGTTTCTGATACTGCTTATCACAGAGTTCACAGTAAAAGTTGGCTCTGAGGTCTTCCAAGGCTTTGGCAATTGCCTTCTCTTTGTCAACATAATCCTGCAAGAATCACAAAATACAAAGAAACAAAAAAACGAACTTCGTAAAACTTTAACTGAACGTTATAATATTCCAAAACCTGAAAAAATCTGAAATCTGAAATACCTTTGGTCTCAACCAGTTTGGATAAGGGATACTCAACCCGTATTAATATTCTAGTTTTTAGACACTAAGGCAAAAAGCATTACCTAGTTTGTAGCCAATGATGGAGTTAAATATTCTATGGCCATTCTCCATATAAGCTGCACTGGTTAGAAAGCCAATCCAAGGATGTGTTATCTGCTGGTCTTAGTGAGATTTAGAACTGTGGGATTCTTACATGTGAGAGGAGCGTGGAGAAAAACAACAACAACAACAACAAACTGTGGGACTGACTCAAAGGCAGTCCAATTTGCCTCAGCAGTTCCACTTAAAAACCAGACATCAAAAGATACCTCAAGTGAAACACATTCTGTTTTTGGGGCAGGAAAAATAAAAAGAAAAAAAAAAGGTACCTTAAAAAGAAAAAATGAGAAAAAATTGAAAAGATACCTCAAAGCAAGTTGGGTATATTCATTTGCCAATGTTGCACAGAAGGATGAGAAAGGGAGAGGAATGCTAGGTGACTACTTGCTAGACTTTTAGAGCATGGTATATATATTACTTTCATAATGAGCAACTCCTTCTAGCAGACTGATCTAAGAAAAATAGGTGTTATCTTACAGACTAGCTATACAGGACTAATCTATAGTTTCAAAGCAGCTCTATCATCTCCCAAAGGAACTACTTAATCAGTAAGCAAGAACAGGTTGTATTTTCTGGAGTGGCAGCACTGAACTAATTTGGATAGACTTATTAAAACTGAAAAGTGAATATGTATAGCATATTTCTATTTTTGTCCTATCTAATCCTTCACAATAATTTTCTCTGAGAGTCCTGGACAGTTCCATGTTGTTTGGCTATTAAACAACTTATGGCTTTTTTTTTTTTTTTTTTTTTGAGACAGGGTCTCTCTCTGTTGTTCAGACTGGAATATAGTACAGAACACGGCTCACTGCAGCCTCCACCTCCTGGGCTCAAGCAATCTTCCCATCTCAGCCTCCCAAGTAGCTGGGATTTGGGACTATAGGCATGTATCAGCAAACATAGCTAACTTTTGTATTTTTTGGGAGATGAGGTCTCACTATGTTGCCAAAGCTGGTCACAAAGTCCTGGGCTCAAGTGATCCTCCCACCTTGGCCTCCCAAAGCACTGACATTACGGGTGTCTGACCCCACACCTGGCTGCAAATTTACTTTAAACAACAGAACTAGAGTTCATAGTATGAATGTAGCAGTATAAGAAAACAGCTTTGATTTTCTTTTTGAGTATCATACAAAAACAAAATTGTGAATTAAAAAAAAAAACACCAACTGCATTTTCAGAAGAACTGGGCAACAGATATAATCTGGAGAATGAATAACACTCAGAAAGAAAGTTAAGCTCTTTATAGAACCCAAATGAGAGAAATGTAGCAGAAGCCACACAAAGCAAAATTAAGCAGTATCAAAAAAGCCAAACGTGGCAATTTCAGAAAATAGCAAAACATATGACCTATATATAAAAGGGTCCTCTGAAGTAATATACCTGTATCTTTTGCACTCATCAAGAACTTCTGAGATCTGGGAAGAGCAAAGGGGTGAGCTTGGGTTGAGGACGATGAGGAAACATTTGCAGTTCAAAGAATGCACATAGACAAAAACAAAAAGTTCTGCCAATTGTGGCAGATTTAAGAAAAGGCTGGGACCAGATGCGGTGGCTCACGCTTGTATCTCAGCACTTTGGGAAGTGAAGGCAGGCAGATGGCTTGAACTCAAGAGTTTAAGACAAGCCTGGGCAACACAGTGAAACCCTGTCTCTACCAAAAATACAAAAAATTAGCCAGGCATGGTGTCATGTGCCTTTGGTCCCAGCTACTTGGGAGGCTGAAGTAGGAGTATCACTTGAGTGTGGGAGGTGGAGCTTGCAGTCAGCTGAGATCACGCCACTGCACTCCAGCCTGGGTGACAGAGCGAAACTTTATCTCAGAAAAAAAATAAAAGGCCAAGCACAGTGGCTCATGCCTGGAATCCCAGCACTTTGGGAGGCTGAGCTGGGTGGATCACAAAGTCGAGAGATTGAGACCATCCTGGCCAACATGGTGAAACCCCGACTCTACTGAAAATAGACAAATTAGCTGGGCATGGTGGCAGGCACCTGTAGTCCCAGCTACTCAGGAGGCTGAGGCAGGAGAACTGCTTGAACCTGGGAGGCAGAGGTTGCAGTGAGCCAAGATCACTCCACTGCATTCCAGCCTGGCAACAGAGAGAGACTCTGTCTCAAATAAAAAAGGGGACAACCAGTGTGCCAATGAATATGGTCCCAGAACAGTCAGTGACAATCAATAGTGTAGTAAAGTTACTGAATCTTGAAGATGGACTCCTTTCAGCAGCTAGGCAAAAACCATCAAGGAGGAGAAGATCAGGCCAGCGTTTGATCTCTTCAGCAACATACAAACACTCGAACTCACACACTCTCTCAATTCCAGAAGACAGTGGTACAGTAAATACTACAAAATATCTAAGGAAAGTATCAACTGAGGCTTTTATATGTATCTTTCAAATATAAGGGATACACACATGTATATATGGAGTTATATGCATATGTACCTATATACACACATACACATATGTTGATATATATTTGTAATTGCCTAAATTAATACTACTATTCTTATTTTCTTGAGATAGGGTCTTGCTTTGTTGGCCAGGATGGAATACAGTGGCATAATTACAGCTCACTGCAGCTTTGACCTCCTGGGTTCAATTAATCCTCCCACCTCAGCCTTCTGAGTTGGTAGAACTATAGGGGCATGCCACCATGCCTGGCTGATTTTTGTATTTTTCGTAGAGACAGGATTTCATCATAGTGTCCAGGCTGGATTGGAATTATTTTTATAGGCTTAAGGTTATATAAAATACATACAGACACACACACACACACACACACACAAATAATTCAAGAAATACTGTTTGCACAACCCCCTTTTAAATAAGTTAATAGAGTACAAACTTCAGAAATGATTGGAAAAAACTCAGCAAAAGGACTGGCAGACTGCTTCAAACCTATTTACTCCTATAACTGAGGTTAAAAGAAATAGGGCTACTATAGTATATACATATATACATATAACTAACATATACATATAACTGTGTATGTTTTATACTATCAGAAAATAGAAATGATCCAAATAATACAAACACTGGTGGGCAGGCAGAAGCAAATAGGAATTTGAGTTTGTTTACTGCTGCAAACTCAACAGAAGTAAAAAAAGAAAAAAATCTTTACAATGAAAATCAAGGCTGGGTGCCATGGCTTACGCCTGTAATCCTAGCACTTTGGGAGGCTGAGGCAGGCAGAAAACCTGAGCACAGGAGTTTGAGACCAGTCTGGGCAACATGCCATCTCTACTAAAAATACAAAAAAAAAAATCTGGGTGTAGTGTCATATGCCTGTAACTTCAGCTACTTGGGAGGCTGAGGTACAATAATTGCTTGAACTCAGAAGGTGAAAGCTATAGTGAGCTGAGATTGTGCCACTGCACCCCAACCTGGGTGACAGAGTGAGAATCTGTGTAAAAAAAATTAGCCGGATGTCGTAGCACACACATGCAATCCCAGCTATTCAGGAGGCTGAGGCATGAGAATCGCCTAAACCTGGGAGGCATCGGTTATCATGGTAGTGAACCATGATCATGCCACTGCACTCCAGCCTGGGCAACAGAGCAAGACTGTCTCAAAACCAACCAACCAACCACCACCATGTAAAACTAAGTGATACATGTTTAAAATACAAAACACATTAAAAAACCATTTTAAAATGCAAGGGAAAACAGAAGAGGAAGGAACACTTCGTAATTACCCTGATACAAAGACATCAGAAGAAAACTACAGACTAATATCTTCTCTGTGGACAGATGCAAAACTGCTCAACAAAACGCTTTCAAACCAAATTCAACAGCATATTAAAAGGCAAAGTGGGATTTATCCCAGGAACTCAATGTTGGTTTAACATACAAAAATCAATCAATGTAATACACCATTACAATGTAACCATTACAATGTAATACACCATTGTTAACAGAATATAAAAGGAAAAAACCCACAAGATTATCTCAATAGATGTAAAGTAAGCATTTGACAAAATTCACAACTTCTTTTATGGTAAAAACACTAAACAAACTAGGAATTTCTAGGAATTTGGAATTCTTCTGTCTGACAAAAATAAACTACCAGCTAACATCATAATGGTCAAAGACTGAAATCTTCCCTATTAAGATCAGAAACAAGACAGAAATATTCACTCTTGTATTTCTTTTTTTGAGACGGAGTCTTACTCTGTCTTTTGCCCAGGTTGGAGTGCAGTGGCATGATCTCAGGTCACTGCAACCTCTGCCTCTTAGGTTCAAGCAGTTCTCCTGCCTCAGCCCCCCACCACCCCCAGTAGCTCAGATTACAGGCACGTGACACCATGCCCAGCCTGTTTTTTTTTTTTTTTTCCAGTAGAGATGAAGTTTCACCATTTTGGCCAGAGAGGTCTGGAACTCCTGACCTCAAATGATCCACCCGCCTTGGCCTCCCAAAGTGCTGGGATTACAGGTGTGAGCCACTGCACCCGGCCACAGTGGTAATTTTACAACACTGTAAATATGCTAAAAATCATTAAATTGTAGTATTGCTATAAAATGATTAAAACGGTAAATTTATGTTATGTGAATTTTATCTCAACAACAATTTTACCTAAAAAAGTTGTGAGGGGACTCAGTCAGGACTTTTACACCAGCCAACAGGGCGAAACCCCATCTCCACTAAAAATACAAAAATAATTAGCCAGGCGATAGATAGTGCGCACCTGTAGTTCCAGCTACTCAGAAGGCTCGGGGAGGAGAATTGCTTGAACCCAGGAGGCAGAGGTTGCAGTGAGCTGAGATCACACCACTGCAC